GCAGTGGAATGTGGGTGTGTTTCTCATCCAAGTACCAGCCTCACTCATAACCGGGAGCTTGGCCACCTGGTGATAGATGAAGCATTTATTCAATGCATACTGTGTTCTAGTTACTGTGCTAAGTGCTAGGGGTACAAATACAAGCAAAAAAAAAAGACAGGTTCTGCTTTCAGAATTTACATTTTAGTGAGGAAAGACAACATATAAAGGAGAACTAGAGAGTAGGGGAATAAGGGGGATGGGGGTAAGGATGCCCACTTGGGGATATGACTGGATATCCAGATAAGGAGGTGAAGTCTCAAGAGTTAGGAGCGGAGCTGGCAGTGAAAGCCTAGTCCAGGCAGATCAGTGACAGATCAGTCAGAAGAGAAGGCTGAAGAGCAGGGTGAGAAGGCTGCTGGTAGAAAAGTAGAGAATGTGAAAGGTGAAGCCAGAAGTGATCAGTCTCTGAAACTAGCTTGAAGACTGTCTACTAAAATATGCAAAGGTTTCAGTCTTTCTCAGTAGATCGAGTGCCCACCCATGTCAATGAAATCCTATCAAGTACTGAAGAAATCCTCAGTGAACCCACGTTGGCTCCTAGTGATCAACACTTTCCTATCAAAACATCATTTGTTTAATCAGCTCTTTTATAATTTTGCCTAGGACTTAAACTCAGTAGTATGTAGTAATTTGGGGAATGGGTAGAGGAGAGAAAGAGAGAAGAGAGTGAAAGAAAGAATGAGAATTGAAGCTTTGACCATCTCTGACTTTCTGGCCCTTCTCTAGTTTTCTATGTTTCCTTAAAGGCCACTGAAAGTGATGGTTCTCTGGTCCCTTGAATCCCCTCGGATGGAAGTCATCTGCCCTAGAGACTTCAATTAAGACTGTCTCCTTACCTACCTTGGGCTTCAGTTTCCTCTTGGAACACATTTGTCCTACACCTTCCAATCTGAAGAGCCTTGTGCTTTATAAAGAAGTGGGAACTTCAGAGTTGAGCAGCTCTGCTCTCTCCCTCTTACGCCATCTGCCCCAAGCATTGGGCCCATCCCTCCCTCCCTCTTCCATCCTATAAAAGCCCAGTTTATTGTACTTAGCATTTCCTGCCAGCCCCAAAGCAGGCCTTCAAATATCCTTCCCTTTTCATCTATTTATATTTTCTCCACTTGTTTGACATTTCTTGTCCTGTCTCTAGCTGGATTGTGAACTCCTGAAGACAGGGAACATTTTATTTGTGTGTGTATGTATGTATATGCCTTTAAACATATGTTTACATTATATATTAAATCATATTTATATTTATATCATAAATAAATATATATTCTAATGTATTTACCTTAATTTATAATCAGCATATTTCATATGTTATATAATAATGTCGTAAAAGGCAGGTAGGGGACTCGGTGGATAGAACACCAGTCCTAGAGTCAGGAAAACCTGAGTTCAATTCAGGCCTCAGACGCTTACTAGCTGTGTGATCCTGAACAAGTTACTAAATCCTGTTTGCCTCAGTTTCCTCATCTATAAAATAAGCTGAAGAAGGAAATTGCAAACCACTCCAGTTTTGCCAAGAAAGCCCCAACTGAGGTCATGAAGGGTCAAACACAACAGAAATGACTGAACAACCGTTCAGTGAATAAAATATGTTTAATATATTGTTATATCATATAATATATTAGTTAATATATAGTAAATTATGATTTAACAAATTCAATTATTGAATATATTTTGTATATTTAAATTATCTTCTTCCTTCTTCCCACCCCCCGCTTTCTACTCCCTACACCCACTCTCCATGCTCCTATCTTCCTAACCGTTGGAAGCACTTAGAAACTGAGCAATTGAGTCTCTGTGGAGGGATGGATGATAAACAGTGTTGATAGCCTGTTGGACCAACACATCGAATTGGAAAATTCCTTAAAGAACATACTGTATCCATTTACACGGATTCCCTCACCGTATCTGTAAACTTCACATTCCTGTCCAGCAAATCCACCCTTCTGCTTTTTTCCCCAGCACACGTCAGTGGAGCTGGAGCTGACACAAGCTTGGGGTGTGGTGGTGGGAGAAGGATGATGAAGTTCTGTGCGACCTCATCCTGGACCCTGAATTTTACTCCCCTCCCTCCTCCTCCTCCTCCCCTCCTCCCCTCCAACCTTGCCCTTTCCTTCGTTAAATGTCCTGATGGATGTTTCAGCCAGTCTCTTCTAGGCTGGAGACTTTCCCTGGGCCATTTTATTTGGGAATGGCATAAAGAGAGAGAAGGGACTTATATCTTGGGCCCCTGGCTTTGGAGTCAAGAGTAGACCTTGGTTGATGGCTTCCCATTTGGGGCTCATCCTGCTAAGTCCTCACTCAGCATTCCATTACTAGAGGCAACCAGTTGGTGCAGTGAATAGAGAGCACTGTGCCTAGAGTCAGGATTTTCAAATACGACCTCTTGTTCAGTTGCTTTTTGTTTTTTTTTCCAGGCATGTCCTACTCTCTGTAACCCCATTTGGGGTTTTGTTGGCAAAGATACTGGAGTGGTTTGCCGTTTCCTTCTCCAGCTCGTTTTACAGATGAAAAAACTGAGGCAAACAGGGTTAAGTGACTTGCCCAGGGTCACATAGCTAGTAAGTCTCTGAGGCCAGATTTGAAGTCAGGAAGACTCATCTTCCTGACTTCAGGCTCAGCATTCTATCCACTGTGCCACCTAGCTGCTGCCCCCCAAAATAGCCTCAGAGAGGTACTAACTGTGTGATCTTGGATAAGTCACTTAACCTGTCTACCTCAATTTCCCCATCTGTAAAATGGAGTTAATAATAGCAACTACCTCCCAGGGTTGCTATGAGGATCAAATGAGATAATAATTGTAAGCCATTTAGCATGGCGTCCAGCACATAACAAGCGCTAGGTAAATGTGAGTTATTGTTATCAAAGAAAAATGAGTTGAACTAGATAATCTCTAAGGTACTTTCAAACTCTAAATCCCATGATCCTCCTAAGCCTTTCTTTCCTCCTGACCCAGAAGTAAGGATCTCCTAAGCAGCCTCTCCCCTACATCCCCCTGATCTTATCTATACCTACTTCTGAACCTCCTTGAAAGGCAAATAGCACGTTCTCCCTCCCAGACCCTTGCCCCAGTGGTTAATGGTGGGACAGCACACCATAGTAGAGTGCCTTCAAGTTTACAAAGGGCTCTTCACATGATTTTGTGAGGTAATTGGTACAAAGACCAAGATCACCCCATTTTATAGATAAGGAAACAAGCCTAGGAATGTTAACTAGTCTGTCCACAGTTATTGTAAGTGTCAGAGTTAGGCTCTGATCTTGGATCTAGAACAGGAAGGGGGAGGGACCTTAGAGGCTGTCAATCCCAGTCCCCTTATTTTTCAGATGAGGAAACTGAGGCATAGGAAGTTCAGATGATTTGTCCAAGGTCACCCAGGTAGTAAACTTCAAAGATGGGATTTATCAGGCCTTTATCGCCTGACACCTGGGCCTGCTGGTTAGTCTGCCTACCATAGATCTCTCCCCAATCCAGTCCTTACTCCACCCAGCTACTAAAGCAATCTTCCCAAGGTGCAGGTCTGACCAGTTATTTCTCTACTCAGTAGTAAACTCCACTGGTCCCATATCCCCTCCAGGATCAAATATAAAATCGGCTTTGGCATTCAAATCTCTTTATAACCTGAGCCCTTCTTCCTTTTTCTAGTCTTCTTAAACTGTACTTCCCGATCCCCAACAATACCTTGTGATCCAGTGATTCTGGTCTCCTTACAGTTCCTCCGGGTATTTTCACTGGCTGTGCCCTGTGTGTGCCTGGAATTCTCTCCTTCCTTTTCATCCTCACCTTATGGCTTCCCTGCTAAATCCAGCTAAAATCCCACCTCCTACAGGAAACTTTCCTTCTCCCTCTTAATTCCAGTGCCTTCTTTCTATTGGTTATCCCCAATTTATCCTGCCTATATCTTTTTTCTTTTCATATGTCATCCTTTTTAATTGTACTGTTATGGAAATGCTTGTTTTATTCCATAGATTAAAAAAAAACAAACAAACCATGGAATCAAGGCCTTTCACCATATATGTTGCCCCTCTTTGGATACTCTCTAGTTTACCCATGCCCGTTTCATACTTTAGACTATGAGCTACTTGAGAGTGGCAACTGGCTTTTGCCTCCTTTTGTATTTCCAGAGCTTAGCACAGTGACTGGTACATAGCAGGCATCTTTAAAATGTTGATGTTTATTCATTTCTATTGGATCTAGTTCTTCTATAACCCCATTTGGGGTTTCCTTGGCAAAGATATTGGAGTGGTTTGCCATTTCCTTCTCCAGCTCATTTTACAGATGCAGAAACTGAAGCAAACAGGGTTAAGTGACTCCTCACACAGCTAGGAAGTGCCTGAGGCCACATTTGAACTCAGGTCTTCCTGACTCTAGGCCCGGGGCTCTATTCACTTTGCCACCTGGCTACCCACACTTAATAAATAGCACTTTATAAATGCTTGGCTTTTCTGTACATCATAGTTTGCAGTTTGTTTCCCCCCATTACCCTATGAGCTCTATGAGAATAGGGATTGTCTTTTGCCTTTCTCTGACACATAGTAGGTACTTGACTGACTGAAGCCAGAACCTGGTTCCATAGCCAGTATTTTGCCCTCTGAATCATGCCGCCTCTTGACTTGGCATATACTCTTTCTACCATGTGTGAAATCCCTCTTGTGTTGCGGAAATCTCATTGGCTTAGCACCCAGAAGTAAGTAGGAGTGGAGATGACCCCTGGTTGTTGGGTGATGATAGTAATCATAATAGTAAATAATAACACCACCTGGCTAGGTAATTCCCAGCCATGAATAAAGCCTGCTGGCCTTAGAGGGAAATGATGAGGCTCTTTAGCAAAAAGAATGCTTCTGGGTATCAAGATCAAAAGTCTTGCGTCCTGTAAGGCTCCTGATCTGAGCCCGATCCCCCCTCATGTCCTTCTCCTTTCTTGTCTGAATTCTCACCATCTGTTCCCTTCTGTCACTTCTCCCCCCAGGTAGTATCTGAGGCTGCTGGGCAGGGCGTGGCTATCACGGGGAATCAAACCTTCAATAACTGGAATTGGCCAAATGCTGTCATCTTTGCCGCCACAGTCATCACCACCATTGGTATGTCATTCTGTATGTCTGTGCTGACGTGGGCTTCCCTTGCCTTCCATGTCCTTCTGTTCATTGGGGGTTCTCTAGACATAGCCATTCCTCTTGATCCTGTCCCCCAAGCTCAGTCCTTAGCATTCAGGGAGGACTAGGCAAGGTCTGGCAGCTCTTAACCACCAGACGAAAAGGTAAGTCACAGTTTGTCCTTTTGATGCCCTCCTGTGGACTTTAAGAAAAGAACTTTTCCCAGAGCATCTGACACGATTCACGAGGAATTACCAAGCCTCGGACTGGATGCTTATTTGGGAGGCAGAGCCAAGTATACTGTCCCCACCCTCCAAAAGCTACTCTGCCGCCTATAACTCCCCCCAATAAATCAGATATCGGTAATTAAGCAAAATAAATAATTAGCCGCAGGTGTTGAGTTTAAATCTTAGCCAGAAGTTCTGATTGACAGAGGTGGACATGAGCTGTGTAAATCCAGAAAGGCTTGGGTGTGCCTGAAGTTATTGGGGAGGGAGGGAGGGGGAAGGGGAGGGAGAGGGCACATGTGCCACTCACCTCGTGGCTGGAACTGATCAGGTCAAATTAGTTCATCTGTTCCTATCACATCCCCATTCCTCTCAACCTTTCTCTCACCTTCCCCCACTGAATTCTTTTATAGAAAGGAATTTCCTTTCTGTCTGACCCCTCTTGTTTCTCCTTCCAAAGGTTATGGAAATGTGACCCCCAAAACTCCTGCGGGGCGCCTCTTCTGCATTTTCTATGGCCTCTTTGGGGTTCCCCTCTGCTTGACCTGGATCAATGCCTTGGGGAAGTTCTTCGGGGGACGTGCTAAGAGATTGGGGCAGTTCCTCACCAAGAGGGGCGTGAGCCTGGTATGTATGCTTCTGTGGGACTGTCCCTGCAGGTCTGATGAGCCTGGTCTCTCTGCCGGGGCATGATTAGGGGCCTGGGCAGGGAGGCACCCCCTTTGCCATTTCCTGTTTGGGCTAGAGGGAGCAGGCCACACCCACCTCTCCCCATTTTTAGAACAGTGGGAAGAGACGGATGGTTATAGAATCTTAGGAGGTTAGAGCTTTGAAGGTTCTTAAAGATAGTCTAGTGAAATCCCTTCATTTAACAAAGGAGAGAACTGAGACCCAAGGTGATGAAATTCCTTTCCCTGGGAGACCTGGGATTTGAACCCAGGTCTTCTCACTCTAGAGTTAGAACTCTACAATCCATGTTGTGAATAGTTGTTGTAAAGGGGTAGGAAGGATCCAGAGATCTATTCTGGAGGAAAGGATGGTAAAGAAGAAGGCCACATTATGTATCAAGCCTGAGAACAGAAATACAGCCTAAGACTGAATGTCCAGAGAAATAGAGATTCTCCTTCCCCCACTCGCCTTCACTCCCTTGGGCTTCCCCAGCTAAGATTTAATTCCTTATCAGTGACCCTCTCAGGACCTCATAGACCAGGCTGGAGAGGGCCCTTCCTTCAGAGCGTCCTAGAATCTGTCTCTCTGACTCTCTGGGTCTCGAATAGACTAGCTTCCTCATTCTCTTTCCCTACCCCTAAACAGAGGAAGGCTCAGATAACGTGCACAGCCATCTTCATCATTTGGGGGGTGCTGGTGCACCTGGTGATCCCACCCTTTGTCTTTATGGTGACTGAGGACTGGAACTACATTGAAGGCCTCTACTATTCTTTCATTACCATCTCCACCATCGGCTTTGGAGACTATGTGGCTGGTGAGTAGACCCTCTCTTCCTTCTTCTCTCCTCCTCTTTCCTTTCCTACAATTCTTCCTTTGACCTCTTCTCTTTTTTGCTTCCTTCCTTTCACCCTTTCACCTTCCCCCATTTCCCTACTCAAACTTTCTTTTATCTTCCTGTATTTTTCCTCATCCTCTGCCTCCTCTCTCTCCTTTCTCTCACCCTCCTCTTCCTGTGACACCTCTCTTTCTACCTCATTTCTCTCTTCCTTCCCTCTCCTGATGTCTGGTTGGATAGATTCCCCACACCCTTCTTCTCCCTCTTCCTTTGACACCCTCTTCTTCTGCTTTCCTCCTTTTCCCTCCCCTTATCTCAAGCAGCAGAATTCCAGGCCTGGCACACTGTGCCATCTAGTCGCCCATAAATTAAGGGTACCAGGGCCCTTTCTAAAGGGTGAACACTTAGTATTGTATACTTATGCTGCAAAAAGGAAGCTCGGGTGAATGTCCTGGTGTATACCTCCTTCTCTTCCTAGACGAATCCAGACAGGTGATAAGGCTCCAGGCCATTTGTCTCAACAGGAAATCTCTGCAGTTCCTGCCACCCCCGTGATGTACTTGACCCTTGTCCTGTACAAGATGTGTTTTTAATCTTATCTGTTTATTGCTTGTTTTTCTGAATTGAATCTCCATTTGTTGCTTATGTCTTTTTTTGTGAGTGGGTAGACCTCTGAGCTTCTTCCAATGTGGGTACCTTTCCACAGGGCCATTATGTAGAACGCTGAGGAGGAAGACAAAGACAGGAGGAATGGGGAAAAGAAAAAGGGAATATTCCACTAATCTTCCTTGTAAAAGGGTAGTTTTAGGTGTCTAGGGTGACATAAATAGGCTAGCTGAGTCACAGCTTCTACAGAAATTCAAAGCTATCTGAGAAGGCAATTAGCCCATTCTATACCCAAATAGGAATTCCCCTCTGTAGTGTCCTAAACAATGCTTAATATCATCCAGGCCCAGAGATCAGGGATGAGTTCTAAGAAGGAATGGAAAAAGTTTCACTGTTAGAATGGACCTCAGATTTTAAGTTTGCACCAACTTGGATTTACTTCTCTTGACTATGTATGTTTGGGTCGCCAGAATTTAGCAAAGTGCCTGGCATGTAGTAAGTACTTAAATGCTTGTTGACTGATTGTCACAGGCATTTCATTTTTGTTTTTTGAGGGAGGGAAAGAATAAATACTTGGAAAAAAAATTTTAATTACAAAAAAGTTTGCCCCATTCTCATCTCCAGGTAGCTTCATCCCTTTGATGGAAAACCATATTTTCTACATAGGGAGATGCTTGGAAAGGACCCAATCCCAGCCTATGTGTGATGGGCACTCACTGGAGACAGTCTAATGGGGAAATAGGAAGCTTACACATTAAACAGCAAAGGTTTAGGATGAGAAAATCATATAAATCAAAGGTGGAAAAAGAATACAGGGAACTTTTGCTTAATCAGCCTTATACTTATTTCATGTCACCGTAGCAAGTTCAGATAACACCTAGGAGGATACTAAAGCAGTGAGAACTGGGGGCAGAGGGTCACCAAAGTCAGGTAGAGCTGATTAGGAGAGGATTTGTTTTTGGAGTCGCCAGCAGTCGTATCTTGAAGGAGGTGAGGAACTTACAGAAGCGGGAAGCAGAAGGGGAAAAGAAAAGCAAGAACCTGAGAAAGTTCTGGCAGGAGAAGGTTGAAAATGTTTGTGGATGCATGTGGATGTGATAAGCTGGAAAGCCTGCAGAGGAGGGTGGCCAGTATGGCTTCTGCCATGTTAAGAATTGATTGAAGGAACTGAACAGGGTTAGCCTGGAGAAGAGGAGACTGAAGGAAGAATGCTTGAAGGCCTACTCTGTAGTGGAGGGGATTCCATTTATTCTGTTTGGCCCCATAAAGCAGACTTATGCTTGGTGTCAGGGAAAACTTCCTAACGATTAAGTTCTATATCAAAGTGAAATGTGCTGCCATGAGAGGTGGCAGGTCAGGAGCTCCACTTGTGGGTTGCATTAGAGAGGAGATTCTTGTTAAGGTATGGGTTGAACTAGATATATAGTTCTCAAATTTTTTTAGTCTCCAGACCCCTTTATATGCCTTTAAAAAAATTACTGAGGATCCCAAAGAGCTTTTCTTTACGTCCGTTGTATCTATCAATATTTACCAGAAATGAAAATTGATCAATTTTTAAAAATATATATTGATTAATTTTAAAATTACAATAATAAGCCCATTAATATTAACATAAATAATTTTAAACAAAAAATAACTTATCTTCCAAAACAAATATAGCAAGAAGGTGGCATTTTTTTACATATTTGTTCAAATATCTCCCATATCTGACTTTGCAGCAGATGATTGGATTCTCCTATCTCCTTCCGCATTCAATCTTTTGGGAGGTTGTTTTGGTTGAAATTTTTGAAGAAAATCCAGATTTCCACACATAGGTAGTTGCAAAAGGGAGGAATATTTTAATAGGTAAAAAATGTCTAATGATTCTGACTTCATGGGTCTTCTGAAAATGTTTTGGAGACCACCAACTAGTGCACTGGACAGTCACTGGTGATCTTTCCAATCCCAAGATCTGTGAATATACAAGACCTTTGCTTAGGTGCTCAGAACAGAGAACTTATCAAAAGAAGTTTTCACATTCTTGGCTTGGGTTGAGTGGAGGACAAAGGCAAGTTGTCATGGGGGTTTGGGATTATCCATAAATTTTTGCAATACATTTTGGATTCATCCATAGAAAAATCATATAAATCAAAGGTGGAATGAACACAGGGAACCTTTGCTTAATCAGCCTTGTGCTTCTCTCTTGACAACTGAGACCCAGAGTGCAATGACTTGCTCAAGGTCAAACAGTGTCATGTCCTCTCCACTTTATTACCCTCCCCTTAAGTATGTAAATTTCTTTCCTTCTCCCTTATGGATGAAAAGTGGAGGTTTGGTCTTTGGACCTAAAGGTAGCCAGATGGTACAAAGAATGGAGCACTAAACTTGGTATCAAGAAGACCTGAGTTCATATCCTGCCTTAGACCTCTACTAGCTTTGTCACCCTAGGCAAGTCACTTAAACTCTGCTTCGGTTTCCTCATCTGTAAAAGGGAGGAGGTTGGGCTTACTGGTCTCCAAGGGCCCTTCCAGCACTAAGTTATAATGCAGTGATAAGGCTGATTTTTTTCTCTGACCTTTGTTTCTCTCTGTCTCTTCTCCCAGGAGTCAATCCTGATGCCAACTACCATCCCCTCTACCGATACTTTGTAGAGCTATGGATCTACCTAGGGCTAGCCTGGCTGTCCCTGTTTGTGAATTGGAAGGTGAGCATGTTTGTAGAAGTCCACAAAGCCATCAAGAAACGTCGGCGGAGGAGGAAGGAATCCTTTGAAAGCTCCCCCCACTCCAAGAAAGGCCTGCAGATGGCATCCAGTGGAGGCGTCAAGGATGTCAATATTTTTAGCTTCTTGTCCAAGAAGGAGGAGACCTACAATGACCTCATCAAACAGATTGGGAAGAAGGGTCTGAAGACAAGTGGGGGAGGTGGAGAGAGAGCCGTGGGAGCTGAGAGCAGAAGGCCTGCCCTCCCGGCTGCTCCTGTGGCTCCAACGGCAATCTATACCAAAACCCGTGTGCCCAGCTACGAGGAGGTATCCCAGACGCTGAGGCTGAAAAGCCATATGTCGAGGTCTCAGGGTGGGGAGGCTGGGGAAGGACCCCCCAGTGACAACACCAACACCACCTCGACGGTGTTTGTCAACCAGCTGGACCGGATCAGTGAGGAGGAGGGCGAAGCCTGGGATGCCCGGGACTGCCGTCCGCTGATCTTTGAGAATGCCAACATCACCTTTGTGAATGAGGAAGGAGGCCTCTCAGATGAGGACACTTCTAAATCCTCTCTGGATGACAACTTAGCTGGGGAGGAAGAGGAGGAACAGGGAGAGGTGGAGGAGGCTGAGGCAGAGATGCCACTGAACCTGGGGGAGTTCCCATCCTCCGATGACTCCACTTTTACCAGCACAGAATCTGAACTGTCTGTGCCTTATGAACAGTTGATGAACGAATATAATAAAGTCAACAGTCCCAGAGGCACGTGAGGCCCCCCTCTCTGCCCCTTGCCCTATCCCACAAATCCTGCGGCCTCTTCCTTCCCCTCACCTCCCCTTCAGGGGTAATCTGTGATGGCTGAGATTACTGGACCCTTGAACTGGGAAAGAAAAGGGGGACCCTTTGACCTCCCATCCCCTCTGGCCATATGCCACTAAGCACGCGTACTGCCCTCACTGCCTGCCCACTTCAGGACTGACTGTTTCCACATGCTTCCTTGGTGACATGGCTGAACAGATGTGATCCTGAGGTTGGGAGAGATTCGGTTCCTGAAAGATGGTTTTGGTTTTTGTTTTGTTTTTTACTACATTTGTAATTTTGATGGAGTATAGACGATGCTGGGGCCAGACAAGGTCTATGAATGGTCAGACCTATAAAAAAGCATAAAGTTTTGAGGTGTTGACAGGCTGTGTGTCCTGGGAGGATCCACGCAGAGAAGGCTCGATTCAGCAGGTATTGACTGAAATTTTAATATGTTGCCCAGCAACAGGACCCAAGTCTAAAAGGCAGTGCACTGGAGACAGTCTGTCCTTGTCCTCAAGATGACTTAAGGTCAATTTGGGGATTCCAAATGAACACAGATGAGACAATTAATGGGACAAGGTAATGTGTAAGTAAGTGTGGGGGTGAGGTATACAAGGATGCTAGGGAAACAGACCCTATATTTGTTCCAAGCTGCTTCTTCCCAAGCCCCTCTTCACCACCCCCACCCCAATACACTAATGCAGGGGTTCTTAACTTTTTTTGTGCATCATGGATCCCTTGGGCAGTCTGGTGAAACTTACAGACCCCTTCTCAAAATAATCTTTTTAAATGCATAAAATAAAATATGTAGGATTACCATGGAAGCCAATTATAATATTGAAATAGAAATCAAATATGTATATTTTTTAAAAGTTCATGGACCCCAGGTTAAAAAGCCCCTATTCTAAGAAATAGAATAGAAAAGGGCTGTTAGGGGTTTGGAGAAGATGAAGGCCAACTGTCTAATACGGAACCCAAACTGAAACACTCCCAGTGGTAACCAGATCTATCCCATGGGCCCCACAACCCCTGTTGCCCATATTTAATGAAGACAGGCCAAACCAAGCCTTCCCCAGAGTGACCCTTTGTGAATTTACTGACAGTGGGAGTGGGCTAATTAGATCTAGGGTCACCACTGTTTGTCGTGTTCTGGAGAATGAGGTAAAGCAAGATAAAGGGCAGTGTGGAGTAGTGGGATGTAGGCTGAATCTGAAGCCACCTTTTGCCATTGAGGTACCTAGGTGACACTGGGCAAATCATGTCCCTTCCAGCCTCATTTTTATCACCTGTATAAGAGCATTAAGTTTGGCCCTTCGAGGCCCATGATCCCAAGTATTTTCCTTATGTCTTTGCCTTTGTCCAGTTATCTTAGCTCCCTTTCCCTGTCCTCTTCTCTACCACCACCACCACCATACCCCTCCCCCAATTCCAGGAAGCAGTGATCAGGAGAGACACAGGTATGCATCTTGCCCCCTCCATCTCTGGCACTCAGGCCCTCCTCATGGGCTGAGTAGCAAAGGGGGGATTATGTCCCACCCCCAAGGACTTGAGCGTGTGCTTCAGTGGGTGGGGGGACTGAGACCTGTTTCCAGTAGCACTTCCAACTGGGGAGATCTGCTGCAGTCTAGCTTGAGGTTTCTGATGGAGGAGGAGAACCTTGGGTCATATCTTTAGCTCTGTGTACCCCCATGTCCTTCCCCTCCCTCCCCTCTGCTACCCCAGGGAAATAAGCTAGTGAATATTTAGTTGTGGGGCCAGGAGCCAGATGGGCTAGACAGGCCAAATCTCTTGGGGTTGGGGGCATGGAGATTCCACCTCACCTATTTCCTTGGCTTAATATAAAGTCTCTAGATGACAACATACACTCCATGTCCCCCCTGGAACTTAACTGCCCTCAACAGAATGTTATCACACATTTTCCCATCTTCTCCCTAATAGTGGGTCCCTGAAGTCTCTAACTTATTGAGTGTGGCTTCCTTCAGGCATTTCCCTAAAGAAAAGACTTTGATGACCCACCCGTCCCCCTTACATGCCTTACCTGCATTTGATGGAGAAACGGGTTGATTAAAGAGAAGGGAGTGTTGCTCAGGCCTCGTGGCCTCCCTTCTGCCTCCCACATCTCCCAATCAACAGTTGACCTTGATCTTGGCTCCAATTTGGGAAGCAGTGAAGTATATATTAATAGGCCTGGGACCGGTGTGCCTCCTACAACTTACCTCTGGAATCCCCAGCTGCTGTTTTTAATTGTTTTTGTTTTGTTTTGTTTTGTTTTGTTTTTTAAGGAGAATGGGGAAACCTGTTGAGAACATAAAATTTGTAAAGGAAACTGTTCCCCCTTTTGTTTTGGGATTAGAGGGGGCGGGGAGAACAGGGCTGGACACTATCTGTGCAATGTCTCCCTGGGGCAGACCTGTTCTGCTCTCTGTGGATAGTTTTTATTTTTTATTATTTTTCAAAGAAATTTTTTGTAGATTTTAAAATTTATATATATCTGGAATTTGTGTTTGGCTACTGATGGCATCTTAAATCCAAATCCAGAAGTTAAGGGGAAGGTTCTGGTTGCCCTGAGAACCCATCTGACAAATCAATGAGTCAAGCTACCTTGGATGGAAAGCAGTGAGGGACCTCTCCCGAATCCCTCCTTTTCCCATGGCTCAGGGCCTCAGCCAGTATCCCATATTAGGAGATCGAGTGGTATTTTATAGAGCCATCTTGGCCACCTTGATTTTATCTTCCTCCTCCTGGTTATCTTCCAGGGCTAACTTTTAGTTAACTCAATTTGAAACTGTGGTCGATCCATTTTCCCACAGGTCACCAACAGATGCTAAGACCCAGAGGGACTTTGATTGAATACTCTGAGAGTGTTCCCCCAGGGTCCATCTGTGGTGGGAGGCAGTGCCTTGTAGTGGAAAAGTGGACTTGAGAATCTAAAGACTTGGGTTCAAATCCCTGCCCTCAATAATTAACTCCTCTGTGTGATCCTGGGCAAGTCTCTTGGACTCGGCAGCTCAAACTGATCTGTAAAAGGGGGTTACTAATAGTAGCACTGCCTATCTCACAGGGTTGTTGTGAGGAATGTGATTTTTGTAAGCCTGAAAGCACCATAGAAATGTGAACCATCATGGGGGTTGAATGAACCAGAAGCTCCCTGTGGAGCCTCAAATGCCACCCCCACACCCACCCTCATCTCCAAGTGTTTGAGGGGGATGGGAAGGAGTGTCCTCATCTTTTCATATGATTGATATTCATGACATTTTCTTCATTCTATGATCCCACCTTGCCTATCACTGACTGTCCTGGAATCGTACACACTGTATGTAAATATTGGCAGAGTCAACGTCAAGTGTAATTTATTTTAACATTTTTTGCAATAAAAGAATGAGGTGGACAGTTAAGCCTGGTGTTTGCCAAATAGGGGGTCGGGTGGGAAGATTTGGAGATGAAGGAATGTGAACCTGTAGCCAGGGATGAGGTGATCTTTGGAGGGAGCTGAGAATTCTAGAAAACTGGGAGACCTCTTCAGAGCACCAAGAGTAGACAAAGTGAGGGTATGGAATATGGGGGTGTTGAAGAATGGAAAGGTGTGGCATGACAAAATGTAACAAAATTGTGCCCCTCACAAGGGCACTGTGTACCCTTCACAAGACCTGGGTTTAAGCAGGAGGGGCACACATGCATGAGTTACATGAGGAGGTACAAAATCACTTTTGGGTTGGGGAAACCAGGGAAGGCTACTTGCTTGAGCTGGGTAAAAAATAAATAAATAACCTGTACAATAGGAATAGGATAGGATTGATCTGTCAACAACCATTTAATGAGTACCTACTATGTGTGAGGTGCTTGGGATGCCAAAAAACAACAACAATGAAAAGTCCTTGCCTTCAAGGGGCTTTCCATCAGCATCAGTATCTGGAGAATCCAGGAAGAAGGCTTCCAGCTTTCTGGAAGAGATAAGCTAAGTTGAAAAACATGTTCAGAGGAAAATGGGATTGGGCAGAGTGAAGGTCAGAGAACTAGTGGAGGATAAAGTTGGATAGGAAGGTGGAACCAGATAATGAAGCATCTTGGAATCCCAAATAGGGGAATTGGGAATCGATCCCATTGGCCAAGGGAGCCCTTATTAGTTCTTCAGCAAGACAGCAAAGATCAAAGTGGTGTTTTGGCAAGATTCACGGGGTAACACACAAGATGGATTAGAGGAAGAAGCGGCTAGATACCCAGGGACCAGCTAGGATTATATAGCATTAATTCAGGGGTGAGTCACCCCTATATTGCAGATGAGGAAACTAAAGCGTGGGAAGTTATGACCTGCCCATGATCGCCCATGATCTCTGGGCAGAGATGGGAACAGAACAAGGACTCTCTGCCTCCACTGGGATTAAATTCAGTGACACATATAGGAAAAGTTTCTACTGTGTGCCAGAGACTATACTAGGCAGAAGACAAGAAAACAAGCTCTGCCCCCAAAGAGCTAAAGAATGACGCCCACTCGTTTTTGTTCCAGTTTAAATGGAGGACACTTACTGCTGCCTGGGTGGTGCTGAGTTCTTGAGTAAGAGTGGGAACAGGTTGTGGTCCTTGCCTCAAGAGACAGAAGAGCACACCTGGGTTCTCTCCACCTCTCTTCATCCTGACAGCAATTACTTCTCACCCACACTCCTCCCTCTCTCTCTCTCTCTCTCTCTCTCCCTTTCTCCCTTCTCTCCTGCTGTCCCTTTCTGCTCTCTTTCCTTTCTCTCTTCTCTTTTCTCCTCTCTCTCTCTCTTCCTTTCTCCTTTCTCTCCTGCTCTCTCTTTCTCTCTGCTCTATTTCCTTTCTCTCTTCTCTTTTCTCCTCTCTCTTCCTTTCTAGTTTCTCTCTTGCTCTCTCTTTCCTTTCTTCTCTCTTCCTTTCTCCCTTCTCTCTTGCTCTCTCTCTACTCTTTTTCCTTTCTTGCTTCTTCTCTTCTCTTTTCTCTCTCTGTCTCTGTCACTCTCTCTTCTTTTTTCTCCCTAACAATAAATTTTGTTAATGCAATTTGTTTTACATCAAAGTCATTTCTAGATATTAACCCTCCCCTCTCCCTGCCCAGTGGCAGCAATGGATAGAGCGCTGGGCCAGGAGTCGGGAAGACTCATCTTCCCGAGTTCAAATCTGGCCTCAGACACTTAGTAGCTATGTGACCCTGGCCAAGTCACTTTACCCTGTTTGCCTCAGTTTCCTATTCAGCTGGAGAAGGAAATGGCAAACCACTCTAGTGTCTTCGCCAAGAAAACCCAAATGTGGTCATGAGTTTGGACATGAATGAAAAATGACTCAACAACAATTCCCCACCCAGTGAATTCATACTCTTTGAACCCATGGTCTCTCTGCTTGGCATATACCCCAAGGAGATCAAACATGGAAAAGCTCCATATAAACCAAAATGTTTCTACCAACACTCAGAGCAAAGAACCAGACACTGAGAACTATGGCCCAACATAGGAGTTTGGGAATGTAATAAAAGTCTGTCACCTTGAGAAATTATGAACATGAGAATTCAGAGAAACAAAGGAAGATTTGGATGACTTGAAGGAGAACCAAGTAGGCAGCTAGGTGGTACAATGGATGGAGCACCAGGCTTAGAGTCAGGAAGACTCATCTTCATGAGTTCAAATATGGCCTCAGACATGTACTAGCTGTATGACCCTGGGCAAGTCACTTAACCCTGTCTGCCTCAGTTTCCTCATCTGTAAAATGAACTGGAGAAGGAAATGGCAAACCACTCCAGGATCTTTGCCAAGAAAACCCCAAATGGGGTCATGAAGGGTTGGACGTGATTTAACAGCAATGACAAAAAGAAGTTATCTAGTCCAGCTTTCTCAACAATCAATACCATAATATAAATGGAAAGAATTTTAAAAGGAAAGCAAACAGGCAGTTTCTTTCCCTTTCCCACAAAATAAGGTTGGCTAGTCAGGCCATTCATACACTGTCCTGGACACCGGCTATCTGCAGAGCAGAGGAAGGAAAAGGCACAGCTCTCACGCTTGGGGAGCTCACCATCTGCTTAACGGGTTTGGTTTCTACCCTCAAGGAACTTCTGTGGAAGTGCACAGGGACTGGGGGAAAATGGAGGAACCGGAGAAAGTCAGAGAGACAGAGACAGTCAGAGAGATAATAGAGCTAGAGGGAGGCAGGGAGAGACGGGAAAGGGAAGGGAAGGAAGAAGGAATGAAGGTAGTAGAAGGAGCTCAAAAAGTGTGAAGTGATGAATATGTCAAATGAAGAAAAAGAGTTGGGGTGCTAATTAGGGAAAGC